ATGCTATTATAACTCCTGCACATTATATTGTTACATTAAAAGTATTGGATGAGTATAATAAAGGTTATCCAGTTGCTTATTTAATTTCTAATTCTCGCGATGAAACAGTTCTGTTTTATTTTTTCCATCAAATTAAAATTCAAGTTGCAGATTTCAAAATAAATGCAGTTATGACTGAAAATTCTTGCAATGAATATTATGCTTTTCGAAGTGTGTTTGGTGATGATGTTAAACACTTGCTATGCAAGTGGAATCTTCATCGTGCTTGGTGCCAAAAAATACATGAAGAATGCTTAGGTGACGAAGTATTACAACAAGAGTTGTATTTTATTTTTCTTACAATATTAGAAGAACCTAATATAAACAAATTTCATAGCATAGCTGCTGAGTTTATAAGTAACTACCAGATTCGTTGCCCAAATTTTATAGCGTTTTTTGTATCTAATTATATGAGCCAACCAGAAGTGTGGACTTCATGCTATAGAACCACTCCTGAATCTGACTGTGATGAGCTACTTTATGGAGATCGTATTTTTGATAGAGTTAAAAAAGAAATGAAATTAACTAATAAACCCAAAGTAGTTGACGATATATTAGAACTTGTTTTAAAATTTGAGCATGAAGATTATTTTAACAGGGGTTTAAACCTCATGCTTAATCCCCCTGAACAAGAGGAAAAGTCTTCTGAACACGTGCTTGGTATGAAGATTAAAACCACTGATGTTGTTGACAATTATAACTCTGATAACTCATGGCAGGTGAAAACTATTAACTACGATCCAGCTGATTTGCAGACTTTAAAAGAAGAAACGTTTGTTGTCACTTGGAAAGCAGATGTTTGTGACATGGATTTTTGTCGTGAAAGATGTCTTAAACTTGCATGTTTTGGTTTATGTAGTCATTTATACCATTGCTCATGTGAAAGAGAGTGTATAACTCCTTGTCGCCATATACACAAAGTACATAGTATTCGAATTGGCATTAATCAATCAAATCCTGAAGAAGATTCCACAAAAAATGATAGTACAAGTAAAGTTAATACTACACATATTAATCTTATAAATACTAGTTCTAGTGTAAACGATTGTAAAACAAATACTTCTAATCAGTCGAAATCAGCCGGGCCTATAAAAGCACAGAGGGTCGAGAAAATAAAGAAAATTAAGCTTGAATTAGTAAAACTTTATAAATTTCTTGAAAGAGAAAATATTCAGAAATATTCTCTTGATTTCATTGAAGTTGGTCTTAAGAAAGTTATTGATGAATGTACAGTAATTGACAGTATTGGTCAAAATAAAGAGGTTGATGTGAACTGTAAAAAAAGAAAAATTGTAGAAAAAGATTTATCTGATTTTAAGGCATTTGTAAAACATTCAAAGGAAAAAAAAGTCATGCGCATTAGCTCCCCAGTTATGGTAGATATTGAACCTTATACAGATTTTTCCAATCAATCTAAAAAACAAATAAGTGGTCATCAAAAAAAAAGATATAATTTAACTAAATCAAAAAGCATCAACATTAATATAGAAAGTGAGCATTCCTCGAATCAAGAGTTAATTGTTAATTCATTACAAGATCAAGACCAATTGAATTTTTTCAGTGTTGTTTATGACGATTGCAACGAAGTTGAATTATCATATTTGAATTTAAAAAGTATTAAAAATATTTCGACAGTTATTATTAATGGACCACATTCATTTCCTCTAGCTCATCTTAAAGCATTAGATCCTAACCAAATTGAAAATGATACAGCCTTATTGTCTAAAAATATACCGAACTATCATCCGGGATATATGTCAGAAGAAATAATTGATTCATATCTCTATTGCTTGTGCAACCATGAAAACTTATTGTACATTCCGACTAATCAAATGCACACCTTAAGATCAAATCAACCATATACTCAACGGTTTTGGCAAGCTGATAAACTCAAAAAATGTAAATATATTTTTATTCCATGGAAATTTATTGAAAGTGATTTTTATTCTATGTTTATTATTGATCTTTGTAACAAAAATATTATGTACTTCAATCCTAATCAAGCATATATTGAATTTCCGCAAAGCATCAAAACTGCTCATTCAATCTTAGTTGGGCTAATGACAATTGAGATAGGCTTTAATGATTATTTAACAGCAGTTTGGCCATTATATCAACCCAGGTATACTTTGGAATCGAACATTCAATTTTTAAACATTAGAAACTTATGGTACGCAAAACAAGTTGCAACTGGAAATAGTGTAGATGACTCTAATGCTGAAATGTGCCAATTTGTAAAGATAATTACTTGGACCTTAACTGAATTTTGCATGAAACATATTGCTCTAGATAGTATACAAGCATGTGGGAAATGTAAACTTCCAGTTGGCAAAAACTCATTAAGTTGTATACGTTGCAAACAGTCATACCACAGACTCTGTGTAAATTTGTTGAATGAAGATTTATTGTTTGTTTGTCTTTCATGATTTAAAAAAAACAAACACATTAAATATTCATATTATTTGAGTCTTTATAGCTTTAGAGTCATAATGTTTTAATTCTTAAAAATCTAAAAATTTAGTTGCTTTTTTGTTTTGTTAAAGCTTGAATTCCAAATGTATTTTTTCTACTTAAAAAAAAAAGAGTATAATTTTAAAAACCATTTAACTTTGTATTAGGTTTACTAATTTAGTATAGTCAAAGTGCATACAAAATTTTTTGAGTTTAGTTAAATAAAGGTTTTTATCGTTAAAATTTTTTTTTTTCTAGCATAATACAAAGTATTTGAGAATTTTTGGTATCAGTTTCGGTATTGAACTGATACTGAAATTTCGGTATCAGTTCAATATCGAAATTTCAAATATAAATTTGAAATTTTGGTTGAAACTGATACCAAAACAGAATTTTGGTCGATCACTATATATTTCACTAAATAGCATAAATCCAAAAATTAATGGTTTAAAATTCAAAAAAAAAATTTTTTATAAATGTACACAACTTGCATTTTTTCCTTCATACATTATAGCATATTAGATTTTTATGAATTCTAAATATTGGTCATAAACTTCCCAAATCTTGTGTTTATTATTATCTAAAATAAAGTTTCTCAATAAATCATAAAAATTTTTAAACTCTGCTTATATTGTAAATTTTGTATTAGTTTATATTAGGCTATTAAATTAGATAAAGCATAGTTTGCTAAAAATATTTGCTATAAATATTAAGTAATTTTTTTTTGTTAAAAAATGTCAATTTTGGTAGGATCTTGGCTTGAAACTAAACAATATTTTTCCAGCACTTAAAAATTAATGTCAGAAAATTAAAAGTTTTAGAATATTCTTTTTTACTAAATCACTTGCTACATAAAACTTGTTGGTTGTGCTATTTATAATTGTGCTATTATAGCTGTAACATCATATTGTACTGTAACATAACTCTTGACTTCTTACATGTTACAACTGTAACATAACTCTTGACTTCTTATTACGACATTTAGTACTTAAGTACTAGATTTGATTATATGGTTTATTGGCATAATAATGGCATTGTTTGTATGCCTTTTAAATGGATTGATTTGTTCTTATCTTAAATGGATTGAATCGTTGTTATTGAATCAGAAGTAAAGAGTAGTAACAGTAAAATACAAATTAAATATCGGGTGAACACGGAAAAATCTGGTCAACTTTAAATTGAGATTTCTCTCAAACCATAAATGTTTTTTATTTCAATTTTTTTATTATTAAATGTGTTTACATCAATAAGTTTACATCAAAAAGATAACTTATTTTTAGGGGCTTGATGGGTTGTTTGGCAAGAGATCGAATTTTATAGCGGTTTGATGCCATAATTTCACAGATTTTTTCTTTTTTCATCTTACTGTTGGCATAAATCCACTTTTTTTGGGAGTCCTTTTTTTTTTTTGTTACTCCACCTGTCTTACCAAGAACTCTTTTAACTATTGCCCAAAAATCTTCAATCTTGCGCTCTTCAGGACGATTTGGAGTATTCGGATCTTTAAGAACAATTTTCACATTATTATCTTTGCACCACTGTAGAATATTTTAAGAATAGTGAGAAGCTGAAAGATCTGGCCAAAAGAAATATCAGTGTTTGTGTTTTTTCATAAATAGCAAGTCTTTGATGTAGAGATTGGCATTCAAGGTCTTCTTAGTGACCAAACAAGAGGACTGCATATCACAGCTACAAATTGCTTGCCACACAAGGAACTTAGATAAAAATTTTTCTCGCGGAATATATTTAAATTGATCATCAACAGGTTTATTTTTGTTCTTATAGTAAAATTGTTGACCAGGAAGTTGTGAAAAATCCGCCTTGCAATATGTTTTGTGGTCTTCAATCATACTCATACTTTAATCTGCCATTATTTTAATCAACTTATTTGCGTGTTGAATTCCTTTAATTTCACCATTTAAGCTTCTCTTAGATGTATTTTTTAATGTAATGCTTTAATTCCAGCATTTTTAAGTACTTTTTTGATATAAGAACGCAAAATCTTTAATTTTCCTGCTAGATCTCGCTGTAAATGGTTTGGATTTCTTGTTATTGAATGTAAAATTGACTTTACCTTTTTGGATTTATGGAAAGTTTTCTTTCTTCCATTTCCAGGTTTTCTTTGGAAGCTTTGAGTAGTCTTGAACTTATTTATAATATCTATGACTGTAGATTTTGGGACAATTGTATGTTTAGCAATCAAGCGATATGAAGTCGATGGATTTTTGCAAAAAAGATCTGTAAACAAATGTTTATCAACACAATTAAAGATAAGGAAGTAACATTTAATTAATAAAAAAAAAAAGACTTTGTGGTTTTAGAGAAATCTCAATTTAAAGTTGACTAAAGTTGGCAAAGTTGATTGATTATTACTAGATTGTTTTGGGGGTTTCTAGGAATGAGAATTAAAACATTCAAAATGTCATATACCAGAGTATTGAATCCTTATAAGGGTCAATATTATATCCATTTCCTAAAGAGAATCTGGTATTATACTACAGAATTTTCTAACTTATTTAATGCTGATATATTTTTACATTCTTTATGTAGTTATGCGCACACTCTCCTTATAATATAGGTTTGTTTTTATTGCTTTAGCTTTCTTTTAGGTTGCTATTAGGTTTGTTTTCATTACTTGTTGTAATACTGCTTCTTTTTTGTTGTGGTTTATTTCTAATAAATTGAGTAGTTTTGTTATATTATGTTAATTGGTTTATCACATTATACTTACCACAACGATGGCAATCATTTATAATTGTTTTGGTTTTTGTAAAATGTTTTTGTATATTTATTTTAAAAATTCTTATAGTTTTAATTAAATGTGTCCTATTTTTTATCTGAGGCTGATAAGTTAGTGTTGCGTGAAGATAAACAGATTTATTCTGTTTATCGCCATTTGAGAATATAAACTAAATATTAAACGTTTCCACAGTGCATAGTTTTGTAAAACAAATAATTCCACTAAAACAATCAACTCCACTAAAATACTATAAATTATCGTAAAATATTATAAATTATAAAAAGTCTGTACTAAGTGTAAAACAAATAATTTTATTATAACAACATGAATTCTGATTAAATATAAACTAACTAAGAATATAACAAGTATTTCCAGCAATATGGTATTAATTATAATTATTTATAAATTAAGTATAAAACGAATAACTCCACCAAAATGGTACACATTTTTAAAACAAATAACTAAAACAGTATAAACCACACTTTTATATAAACTAAGTATAAACTAAGAATAATACAAATAACTCCATGAAACCTGTATAAATTATAATTAAATATAAACTTAAGCATAAAAGGAATAACTCCACTAATAGGGCATATATTTTAAATAATAATTTAATATAAACTTTATTTATTTTATATAAAATTTAAATAATAAATTTTATTTAAATTTTTACTTAAATAATAATTCTATTATTATTTATATTATTATAATAATATATATATATATATATATATATATATATATATATATATATATATATATATATATATATATATATATATATATATATATATATATATATATATATATATATATGAACAGAATAAGTTGAACAGAATAAGTTTTGATTAAACATAAACTTATATATTAAAATTATATATAAACTATGTATAAAACAAATAATTCTACTAATATGGCATACATTTTTTAATTCAATTTACTCCAATAATGTGGTGTTAGATTAAATACAGTAGTGGCCATTGAATTAAGGCACCTTATGGTTTTTGGATAAATTTAGTATAACTTTAAATGTGCCTCTTAAATATGCAAAGTATTATATGTCAATGTCATTAAATGAATCAAATTAAAATTTTTCGCATATCTTTGTTTAAAAGATGTCATCAAAGCTTATTAAAGTTTTTTAGTAAATAGTAAATATAGTAAATATGGGTAAAAAGGCAGATATGAGTGATTTTGTTACAGGTCAAGTCATAACTTTGCATGGTGAAAGGTACTCACAAGTTGTCATTAGTAAACGTCTAAAAATATCGAGATGCGCTGTACAAAACGTAATAAAATTGCATGGGAGTTCTAGACGTCAAAATTGCCATGGCAATCGCAAAACTACACCCCGTGATGATCGATACCTGAAAAGTATTGTGCGAGCCAGTCCTCACACCATACTTTCCAGCAGCTTTGTGGTTCAGGGTACAATTATGTTCGTTGACCTGTAGGTGAAAGACTCAACCCTAAACACACTCTGGAGACCATTAAACATCCGCCATCTGTTATGGTGTGGGGTGCTATCTCAGCTAAGGGTAGATGCGGAATCCACATCTTCGGTAAGGGCGAAAAGGTCAATGATGCAAAGTATATACAGGTTTTAGAGTCAAAGGTTAAGACACATGATTATTTCTGAAACTACCATCTTTCAACAAGATTCAGCACCGTGTCATACTGCAAAATCAGTCAAGAAGTGGTTTCCTGACAACGATATTCAACTTTTGAAGAACTGGTCCTTAAATTCGCCTGATTTGAATGTTATTGAAAATTGTTGGAATTTAATGAAAGCTAAAGTGTCAGCACATTGTCCAATGTCAGAGGAACATTTAAAAGATGTATTGAAGCAAGTGCGGGTAAATGAAATTACCCCAGAGTACTGTGACAAGCTTGTAAAAAGTATGCTTTCTCGTATACAGGCTGTATTAAAAAATCGTGGTTACTCTATGAAATACTAAGATTTTGAGACTTTTTGTTGATGAATTTTAAAAATAATGCTGCTAGATATGTTTTAGAACATTTTATAATACTAATAGTACATATATGATTTCATGAAAGAGAAACTGAACTTGCTTAATTAAAACTGCAATTCTGCTAGGTGCCTTAATTCAATGGCCACTACTGTGTATACTTATTATATAACAAATATTTCCTGTCAAAGGTCATATCTGATAAGATTAATACACTAATTTGATAGTAGTAGTTAATAGTCGACTTACGTCATTTTCTAGGCTTTTCTATTTTAAAGTAGTTTCTAGGCTTTTCTA